CCCACACACACACAGAGACACACCCACACACACACAGAGACACACCCACACGCACAGACACACCCACACACGCACAGACACACCCACCCACGCACAGACACACACACACAGACAGATCAGTGCAGTTCATTTATTCCTCTCATTGTGGGGAAGCAACATTCATTTCTATGTCATAGCTAGGATTAGGGTTATGCCCAAATTAACCCCCTACCCAGCCCTAACATTAACCATAAGTAAACAAACAAAATACAAGACTTACAGACAGAGAGACAGACAGAGAGACAGACAGAGAGACAGTACCAAGAGCTGTCCCCTGCTGGGGATCATCCATTGTCTCCTATGACCACTGTGCTGGGTCACACGTGGGGTGAGACACAGACAGGAAATGTTTGGGGGGGGGGGGACTCTGGGATCTGCATCTATCACTCACTTGACGTTGGCGTTGGTGCAGATGATGTACTCGATCTCCTCAGAGAAGGGGTTCTGGAAGGTAAAGGAGCTGGTGCGCATCCAGATCCACTCGCGGGACTTGGCGCGGAAGCGGAACATGACAGACAGGACCTGCCCCTTCAGCTTGACCACCTGTGGCAGGACCAGAGAGGAAGGAGGCGTCACACTGCTGCGAGAGGCTCAGGCGGGCCTCCAGCAGGGGACCTGGGGCCCTAAGGAAGCAGACATACCTGCTGGAAGCTATCCCTCAGCAGGCCCTGATCCTCGGGGTGAGCAAACTCCAAGATGTCCTTCCCAAGCATCTCCTGGGGGTGGGGGAGGAACGGGACAAGTTAGAGAAGCGGCTCAGAGATGGAGGCCTGCAAGCAGCGCTGGGGAAATAGGGTCCCACCTGAGGCTGGAACCCCACTGTGGCCACACATCGGTGATCCACGAAGGTGAACAGGCCCTGGCAGTTGTGCCGGGAGATGAACTCCACAGGAGTGCTGAGGCTGTCGATGTCCTTGTTCCCGGGAGAGCAGGTCACCTGGGTGGAGGCAGATGGGTGACTGTACTGAACAGCACCGGCTGGTGTGGCAGCTCTGTGCAGAGCGAACAGGCCCCCCTGCCTCTGTGCCCTGCTCCATCTCACACACGTCTACATCCTCCCCCTCCCCTCCACCACCCCAATCCCCCCCCCTCCCATTAAGCCTAGTTTATACTTGTCCTTTTCGTGTGCGCTTTCAGGCTGGGGACAGGCAGCTTGTGTTTATACTAGCTTTGGCTGTGGATGCGGATGGCTGCAGTCGGTGCATGCAAACAGCAGCGATACTCCATCAGACCAGCAGAGGGCAGATGTATTGCAACAAACACAAACAAGTAGTGTAGTGAAAGGGGTAAACTTTTAGGAACACTTTTAAAGTTAATAGCCAAGGCCTGGGCAGCATTACTGTAATAAGGCACACCACAGGATTTTTATTCCTTATGACAAAATTAGCCAGGACCCCCCCCTCACCTGCTTGGTGAATTTTATTGGCAAGAATTTTAAATGCTAGAGTTGTGCTGCTTTGTAAAATACCATATGTGGCTACCTCCTACCGTCCTTATACAGCTGCTCACCGTAACTACTACAACAACAACAACAACGTTGATCTGTGAAACTCCACCTTACCACCTACTGCAAATACCTAATCAATTGTCTTGCACAAGCATGTTCAATGCGATTGGTTTCTGCTAGACACAAAAATCTGGGCTACACATACACCGATTGCAGTCGCCCGCAGCCAACCCCCAATAACGATATTTACGTGACATCCCCTCATCTGCAACCAAAAGCGTGCAGAAGAGTGAAGTATGAATTGGCCTAAAATCAGTCCCTCCCGCCTCCTCCCTCTCCCTCCTCCCCTCTCTGTCATATGATACCTGCAGCCGTCCAATGGCCACCAGGCAGAAGCGGCTTCCCTGGTTGCTGTCGGTCTCCTCGTCAGAGAGTGACACCCCTGCAAGGCAACACTCACGCTGAGTTTCCCCAAAGACGCCCAGGCCCCAGCAGGAACCTCCCCACCCCGCCAGGAGCAGTACGCACCTGCAGGAGGCCATGACTTGATGTACCCTGTGCAGTGCACCACCACGAACTGCGGCTCGCCCTCCTTTGTTGGGCCCAGGCCATTCCTGGGGGAAGGGGGCAGTGAGACCAGAGTGGGAGGAGGTAGGAAGAGGGAGAGAGAGAGAGAGACTTTGACTTTTGCACCAGCCTTTATTAAGTCAGTCAACAACAGAAAAAAACCCTACTGCAACTTCAAATCGCAAGATGGGTCGTTATCACAAAATCAGACAAACGGAAAACAAAGTAAACAATCAACCACAAAAAAACAGGAGAAAATCACCAGGGCAACAAACAAAAAAAGGAAAAAGAGAAAAACAATACAATGGGCCCAAAAAAAAAAAAAAAAAAAAAAAAAACATACGGCGGGCCAAGGAAATAATCGACACCTTCAAGATAATATTAAAACTTCAAGATTAAGTCCCCATCATGGGTCAAGTCACATAGAACCCCCCACCATAACCCCACACCTCCGAAAAGGTCACAAGGTCACGAGAGAGAGATACTCACCGGTTCCTATTCCTCAGGAGATTAAGTCTGTTCATGGAAATGGGTTCCACTGGAGTCGTGCCACATCTAATAAACACACACACACAGGTGGATACTTCACCTATTGCTTCTTGAGCTACTTTTCATGAACTATCAAAAACCAGAGGTCTCATTTATTGACTATGCATATTAACAGATTTGTGCATAAACCGCGTGTATTTGCATTTTTACACATAACAATGGCATTTATCAATTACTTCCTGTGTGTAGAACTGTGCGTATATGTTCCCTAGCAGGAGAGAAGCGTAACTGAAGCAAACCAATCGGCACTTAAGATACGCACAGACTCCCACTAAATTATCAACCTTGACAGATTGCAAAAGAGAATGATCTAGTTACGTTCACACAAAGTGTGCGCAGGCAAATCATGCTCATGACAAGGAATCGTTTAAATATTGATGGAGAGACGCCTGAGAGCAGACGCAGTAGGACGTTGGTGGGGGGGGTATTTCTTAGTGTAACAGGTGCAGGAGAGTGGACAGCACTGCTGGTGGAGTAATGACCCACTATTCATGTCTGACATGTAATACAGTATGCATACAGTGACGTATGTGTAGTGGACAGCTACAATAAGCAGACATGATACAGATATAGATACAGTACCTGTACTGGGCTATTTCCTTACATAAAAAGACACTCACCGTACTGCACAATAAAAATTCACTGCAGCTTCATGTGCATTTTCAGCTCCTATTGTTTACTGCCATGCATCTTTAACTTCGTAGTGCAATTTATGCCTTTTATTTTGTGAAATTTGAATGCGAGTGTTATTTTATATTTACTGCTTACATTATTTGCTGTAGAGTACTTTGCGTATTTTACCAAACTGTACTTAACGTCTTACCTCTCCCCCGTAACTATCAAGGTATGTCCAAACTGATTTGCGTTCGTGGTCCCAGACCCAAATGCGGACGCAAGCTGATGCATTAACTGCATATGTCACCTGTCCCCCTGCTAGGTCCTTCTCTATCGTCGATCGGCCACTGGTAAAGTCGCCAAACAGTACAGACTTATTTATTTCTTTGGTTTTTTTTTTCCTGTTACGTCCAGCAAAACTTTCACTTCATTCTCGGTGAAGTTCTGGTTTTACCCCTTGCTCATTTAAAAAAAAAACTTTATTTCTCTATAGTAAAAGTGCAAAATATATCAGAAACAGGAATAAGGATATAAAGGTACGTCTCTTCATAGTTTCTATTTGCAACCTGTTCTTCTATCGCGCGGTGTGATGTGTGTTCATGTGGAAGTTATATGCCCAAATATGGTTCATTAACCCTCTGGGGTTTAGGGGTAGGGAACACACTTTCACTGACTGGGGCATGGTCACATATTTCATTCAATATCATAAACTTAATTCATGGCAAATAAATTATTTCTTATATGTTTGTTTTGGCATTACATTCATCTTAATTTTAATGTACTTTGTAAATATGTAAGATTTATGTTAAGTCTGTAATTTGACATGAAAGTATAGACATTGCTAAATGCAGTTTGGAACACTTGCAGAAACATTGTAAAAGTACATAAGAAGTAATGCTGGCAGTTTGTTTTGATCCCAGATATCTGATCACCAAAGTCTGTTACATGAAGATGACTAAAAGGTGTAGTTGCGACATTCAGTTGGTGAAAAAGCTAACTCATGTCACTATTGAATATGTAGGAGCTCTCATGTGTATGCATGAGCCATTCACACCTGGCCACATCCCCCCCCCCCCTTTTATGGCGCTGATGGGGATGTATCTGGATCGCGTTTCACCGTTGCCTTGTTCATCAAATTACCATGCAAATGCAATTTCAATATGCGGTAATGCGGCTTTTCAGAATGCAAATAGCGATCTTCACGTGAGGGCGGCACTACACGCCCCCAATGCAGGTAAAACAAAGAAAGGTGACATGGTTTACTTTTTTTTACCTATTTAACCTAATTTTTAAAACTTTAATACTTCCGACAATGGACGTTTTGAAAAGAAGACAGATTTAGTCAGCGTTTTTTTCATGTTCCTACAATAAGATTTCAGCGAGTTAACCGTCGCCCCAGACGGTTAAGGGCGTTTCTTTATTTAAATTCGTCCTGCCGTCTCATTTAAAATGTGTGAGATTTAGCAACATTCACTTCGTACGGCTGTTTGTATGTACGAGTGATAAATATGAATTTGCCTGTGGGTACCGCACACTTTGAGGAACTGTTCTACGCAAAGTTTGATAAAGGAGACCCCAGAAATGTTATGGGAGGCTAAACAGCACGGCTGCCATTTACGATCACGCTGAAGAGGTCCTTCGACTAACAGGAACGTACCTCATCCTACAAATGAAGGACCTGCGGGACCCCATGCACATCCTGACTGAGGACTGTTGCCCCTCCTTCTTCACAGTCCCGGTCTTCAGGTCCAGCATTCGCCCTGAGGGAGGATGACAATGGACTCAGGGTGCAGTACCACAGGACACCACTAGAAAGTGATAGAGAGGTCAGCAGGAAAATGTATGGAGATACAGGACAATGTCAGACAGGGAGGCCAGGAATGGCACGGCAAGAAGCTGCATATTATATCTAACTGGCAGATGGGAAATTCAGGATGGGCCAGCAGGGGGCACCAGCGAGGTGACTCACCGCTGGTGCTGCTCTCGGTGGTGGAGAGTTGCTCGCGCAGCTTGTCAGTGTCGTCGGGGTGAAGCTGGTCATACAGAGAGCTGCCCAGCCAATCGGACTGCGGCTGGTTCAGCACCGGGGTCACCGAGTCGGACACATACACCACCCGGCCCGTCTCGCACGACACGACGAACAGGAAGCCATCGGCTGCCTCCAAGATGAGGTGTTTCAGCTCCTGGTCGGTGAGGAAGGAGGGCTTGTAGCTGCCGTCGGGGGCTGTGCTGCCGCTCCCGCGTAGCGTCTTCATGTGCGATACGGCCATGCGGAGGATGGTCAGCTTGTCAGGCTTGCGGGCCAGGGCACTGCAGGTGGGCACCATGTCCGACAGCTCCGTGATGTAGGCCGTCATCTTGTTCCGCCGGCGGCGTTCAATCTCGCTGTGGTTCTCTCTGTTGGGGGAGTGGAGGGAATCCCGGCCCAGGAGTGCAGGAGGAGGAGGAGGAGTGGAGGAGGAGGAGTGGATGAACAGAAGCAGGATTTGAAGTGAAGAAAAAAAAAAATAACGAAGCAAGCCGATATGGGGAAACGGAAGAAGAGAAAAAGAATGAGAAAAAACAGGGGGAGGTCAGGAGGGTCAGATTGGAAGAGAGAAGTAGTAATGAGGGCATGTTCATCAAAGAAACCAATGACCAATGAGCTACAACCAACATAAAGAATGAATGGATCTCCATGTCTCACAGAGAAACAGTGAAATAGCATCTCCAGCGATCCTGGGGGGGGGGGGGGGGGAAAGAAGAAAGGGACGCTTAAAACATGCACAGAATGGGGAGGGAAGTCACCGAGATACTCCGAGCGGTGACGGGGACCCCCCACCCCAATGCGATGGGGGGCCAGATGGGCGGCTTTTTCAAACAGACCTTCCTTATGGGCACAGTGCTGCTTACCCAACCCGGGACAAAACCAAGCTGCTAAATATCACAGCAAGAAAGGCGGCCATCAAAGAACCAGGGGTGGGAGGCACAAGCCGCAACGTGTGGAGAAGCAACAAACTGCCCCCAGCCAGATCAGAGAAGCAGGAACAGCGCAAGATCGAACGGTAACGGGTATCCCAGCGTGAGAATCGGGGGATAAATAACCACACTTGAGGATTTTAGAGAGCAAGCGAGAAAGAGACATCTACCTCAAATGTCAGAAGAATGGATACAAGCAACGGGTTGGGTTTCTTCAAGCGATCACATTACTACACTGCCAACCGATAGACTGTATGCTGGGATAAAACCAAATGTAAGAATTCAATTACCGTCCAAAATAACATTTTAAAGATCCAGAAGAGATGAAACATAAGCTTAATGTGATGGAGTTACTTGGAAATGTGTCCATGGGAAAAACAGACATAGAGCAAATCAGCATGGCTTGAGACCTGCATCAGCCAACAGGCCACGGCATGTTTTCAACAGCAACATGCGGGACAGCTTCTGACCCTAAGAGGGCGCCGCACTCACGTACGGGTTCCGGACGAAAGCGTGGCAGGTTTGTCGAGGTCTGTGTTCTGTACAAAGGAATCGCTGCACACGGGAGAGTCAGCCATACCTGACACCATTGTCCGCGGGAATAATCACCCTGGTGCTGCGTAACCTCACATTACACTTCTAATGTTCTTATATGCAAAGTAATCCCATGCTTTCATCAATAAGTCATCATTCTAAGCCAAGCAGAAACTTGCTGGACGACAGATAGAACACAGGGATACCAAGGAAGAGTGAGAAAAAAAACACAAGAAGGAAAGGCCCTTGTGCTTTTCAGGCATGATGCTTCGGAGGCAGGCATGAGCGTGCAACAGATCACCTGTGAGAGCCCCGGAAACAATGCGACACCTTCATTGTTAAAGAATTTATGTCAGTCCACCTGAATGACATCTGTGACCAGGGAAGGTGACAGCATCTCACTTTTCCCATCCCCTGGCGCAATCTACTGCCTTTTCTCTTCTCCAGGACATGGTTACATGTTTTCTACAGCTTCCTATAAACCCCGAGCCGTCCCCATCATTCCCAATGCCATCTAGGCACATTCCACCGGGTATCCCCACCAACTCACACACATACCTGGCAAACCGCTCTTTGTCACTAGTCCCTCCTGCGTCGTCATCGCACCTGGAGAGAAAGCAGATCATTGCTCAGACATGGTGACTGCCGGTACGCTCACACCCAGATGAACGTTTCAGGTACATCAGTGTGACGTCAGGCAGTCGAGAAGACCAACCTGAAGACTTTGCTTCCTTCATCATCATCGGTATCTGGGCTGTTGGAGGAAGGGTGGAACCTCCATTAATAACACATACAATAATAAAATAATAATAATAATAATAAACTATGCAATTCCACATTGCTGCTAATACATCATGTTCAGGAAAGAAAGACATCTATAACCATTACCCTTATTAAGACATTTTCAAAGTTCTTTAAACTCTTACTTTCAGGATGCAAAAATTCGTTAAACCATACACCTGACATTTCTTTGGTCAGGCAAGCAAAATAACTCAAGGTTTGCTAGTGACTGCAGAATGCACATGACCACTCTGGGGTGGAGATTCTGATGTCCCAGTCATGGGAAAGACACCTATCACGACACGCAGAGAAAAACCACATGGCGTACTAAGGGAGACATCAGCACGAGATAGAGAACAAAACACATACACTTGATAAAAGAGGAGCATTTAGCCCAAAAACATACATTTCTTTAAGATCAGCGGCAGATTTTAGCTCGTCGCTTCTTCACTTACCTGGCTCGCCTCTTGTTTGCACCCTTCGGAACTACGGCCCCCCCTCCGGCCTGGTTCACCGTGGCACTCGCCATCGCCAAAGAAGGCATGTCGGACACGTCCGAACCTGGGAAAGGCAGAGGGACAAGCAGCCAGCCAGTCCGTTAACCTCGTAAGGCACATATGTAAATAAAGGCACACCCTTAATTAATTAAACGTCATTATTACTCCTGTGTCACGCATTGACATCGGGCCACACCGGGTTTGATTGTGGCAATGGTTTATCAGCATTAACATAACCAGGAAGATCCCAGGAACTGATTCTCAGCCTCACTCAAAACCTGATTCACTTCATAAAAATAAAGCGAGGGACTAAATAGTTCTGCAACTGTCCGGACAGGACTGTCAGATAAATTCCAACCACTATCAAAAACCCAAAATCCCAACACCTGCAGTATGTCAAAGGGAAAGAATATTTCTAAATATTCTAAATGAAAAAAATCCCCATATTAACTTCCCATGGAATGGAAAGTTTCAGGAAATTTTCCATCCCTGTGCAACCCTATTCAAAAATAACTTTCAGACAATGAAAATCTCACTTTGGCTGACTGAAAGCATCATGCATTCTATTCGTGATATTAAACTATATCAAATAAAACGTTGTCAGGGCTGTACCAAATAATCTCAACATTTAAAATAAATGATAGCAATGTAAAACCAATGTGCCTCGTGTTCCCTTGGGGTTTTTGATAGTGGTTTTGTGGGATATTAGTATGAGTCACGCACACACAGGCATTTTGGATAGCGTTCCCTTAACGTGTGTGTGGTTTTAAAATCAAATTAATTAATAATGTCAAACATAAAATACAATACAAAATGCATTTTCAGGTATATATCAGGTGTTTATATATTATATATATATATATATATATATATATCACATTTCAATAATACGCTTCCGAAGAGGAAGCGTATTATTGCACTTTTACTGCTCGCTACCCTGTGTTGCACAACATGAGCAGCTAGCAACAATTGCACAATCCCCATTTCCCCAAAAGTGGTTCATTAGATTTCTAGTACTGATAAGTAAACGGCAGAGGTTTAGATTGCGACATCAAATAAAACTGTCGCCAAAAATGCATTATATTAAGAGACGCATAAAACCATAGTCGAAGTACGTGTCGCCAGAAAGTGAGGATCTCTGCCATAGTATAATATACCATCGAAAGTAACGGCAATGACACTGTGGAGGGAAAAATCGAAACAAATACATAAATATGTTTGGTGTACATATGCAATCGCTTGACTGCGTGTTAAATTTGTTTTGATAGACACAAATCTGTTTTGTTTCAGTTATTCTCTATATAACACAGAACGCAGTTATATATATACACAAGGTAAAGTCTGACTAATCGGGATGATATAAAAACGAAGTTATTAGAACTGCACTTTGGGGTCCAGTTTATAAAACTGTCAGGCGAGGCAGCCAGCTTCATGTCAGATGTACAGTCCCCATTGGTCCGTGGCGTCTTACAGTGTTCACCGAAGTGATTGGAATAAGAAACTCGTCTTTACACAACAACACTATTATTCCCGAAAAAACATATTTATGTACATTTCATCGGTGACCAGTGGCGAATACAAAGTCGGCTCCAACCCAAGCAGCACACGATGGAGGGCCGGGAATGACACGTCCAAGGCGGCTCACATAACCCGTGACGGAAAGCGACCCAATAGGCGCAAAAAAGTAAAAATAACAAGCAAAAGCCAAGCAGGTGGTGTATACATATATAGGTGGGTGTCCGTACCTGGATTAGAAGAGGCCATGTGCGAAGTGAACATAAACACAACACCTCGGCACTAATGAAGGAAATTTCTCTGACCCCGTTTCCTCCTCCAAAATATATGCAAGATATATTCCACAAGGATTATACCTGGGGATACTTCATAAAAACGGTGTAACGGTCTTTATCTTTTAATTATCATGTCCTTTACATAAAATAAATACGCGTAAAAAAACAAACATAAACTATTTATTTCCTTTCCTTTTTCGGGTTTTAAATCCTTTTCGATCCAAGATGGCGGCCAGACATCGTAGTAAACTCCTCGAGACAAGCGAACTATGCAATTTCATCGAATGTGATTGGAGGATACAGAGTGACGTTAACGCAGACCCACCCCAAACTCGGTGACCCCGAAAGTTGTTGCGATATCGTGTGGGTTGAACTCCCGTACAGCAGGTGGCGACATTATGATTATTCAGATAAAATGGTCGTAAAAAAACCTTAAACAGTTTGAGTGACAGAGTCAGTACTAAGTGGGAAGGCTGAAGACTGAGGCGATTTTGCAGGGACTTTATTCTATAAACGGGTTCCTCAAGTGGCGGAATCCGGTGTTCTGACGAGTTGAGCTACTTTGTCGAATTAGGCTACCGTAGCGCTAATCGATAGCCCTAAACCCAATCCCAAAACGGTGGAACTGCACATGCGCAGAAAGGCTCGGTAGCACGTCTCGATAGGTAGCATTGGTCGATAGAACACCGGTTCGCATTCGGACCGAAATACAATTAATTTCGGACGCGTGATCGATGAGCCCCCTCCTGGGATTTTTTTTAGTAGGCCCTGGAACTTGCCTTTGTGATGTTGATGGAATTTGTACCTCGGGTAATAATAGTTGGGGACCCCTGTTCTGTAACGATATAATTTATACCCAAAAAGCTAATAAGAACGAACGACTAATAACAGTCAAGTATTTGTGTTTCTAAATATATAGATTTTAAATTGAAATTCATTGTAACTGATCAGTAAAATCGACAATCTGTGTGGTCATTAGATTGTTACCCCAACAATATCCCGGATGTTTATGCTTGTAGACAACACAGACATCAGCTCACAGAAAATTAAATCAGCATGGGAACACCGGCAGATGACAAATTTAGACAATGCTTGTGATTTACAGTTATGTTTTATTAATAAGTTTTTGCACAATAACAAAAATACTAAACAAACAATGTAATTAGGACACTGATGTTTTGGTGGCAACTGCTTTAAAAAGCTGGAGGTCTGGGCATGGTTAGCAAATGATGTGTAGGACAAGTGCATGGGAATAAGACAGGGTAGAGGAGGAGGAAGGAGATACAGAGAAAAATAAAGAAAACAACGAATAAGAAGGTAAGAAGCGAAAAGCCAGGCAAACTATGACAGCCAACACGAGGGAACTACACAACAGATCAGGGGGAAAAACCCTGTTATTCGTCATGTGCCTCATCAGTATTCACACTATTGAATATTTCTCATAAATTTTAAAAACTGTAAACCTGTTTTAAAAAATAAAAAAAAAATTGGAATCATAAACAAATTTATAATCAGAAGATAAAAGTCTGGCTCTGTCATAATAGGTCATTGCCATCTCCGGATAGTGTTATTTCGTTCTGACCTGCAGTTACTCCATACACCTCGTGATATATTACACCTCCAATACAAGCAAGTGTACTGTATATAAATGTACCAGATGACATCACACCGCAAGAGTGGATCAGAACGTTAGAAGAAGGTAAAATGAACTCATTCTCACAAGTTGCCAAGAGACATGGGTTTACCTTGAGTTCCCAGTACAAATTAATTTAATAAGAATAACCAGTTCTCCTATGGGAAATATCTGTAAAACATAAAGACTTCAAACAGTGAGCTTTTGGTTCTTGGGAAGGGTCTGTGTTTAAGACCAAAGCACAGAAAAAATGTTGAGACATATAACCCGAAAAACCCCCTCTCACCCACCCCCCCAAAAAAGACAAAAAGACAGCACCATTGGAAATAATTATTAGAAATGCTCAGAAATATGCATTATTCTAAATGGAAAAATTGTATAAAATTTGTTATCATGTAACCCAAAAAGGTAGTAGACTGATGAATTAAAAGTAACAGGTACTCTTCCACTGAGTAAGATATGCTGTCAGTAGTATTCCTGGACCAGTTATGTATACCAGCTGGGGGGGAGGGGGGTGGGCTTGTTTCCCTGATGCCGAAGGAGCAAAGTGGAAAGCTGATGCTTAGGGTCCTGAAGTACCACGCAGCCCTGTTTAGCATGAGTGCAGAGTTTAAGCAAGATGTTGTCCCTCGTGTATGGCTCTGAAAGCTGGTAAAGCAGGTGGACAACGGTGAGAATCAGCACTGTGTGATGCAGCTCCATGGGACAAGAAAGGCAAAGACACCATAGAGCAGAAATAAAGAAGAGAAGACATCTGCCTGCTATTAAGGCACTTAAGGCTAAGCTAGGCGTAGCACCCGTGCCTCTCTCCATCTCATCCTTCCCCATTTTATTACCCGCCCACCTCTATGCTGTGCCTCAGGAGACTGGCCTCCATTAGTGTGATGCACTGGGTCAACGGAAACCACAAATGATGGATCCTTGTTTTTTGTGGGTTTTGTTGTTGCAGCTGTGTGTGTGTGTGTGTGTGTGTGTGTGTGTGTGTGTGGGTCTGTGCTGGCCTGAGTGTGCTGTCTCGTGTGAGATGTTGTGAGTTCGTTTCCGTTTCTTGCTGAAATGCCTCCTTCCTTCAGTCGATGTCCTCCCAGTGTCCTTGCCGGTAGTCCTGTCCACACTCCTCTCAGGCCTCACTCTGCCTTGTGGTGATTGTTGTTGAGGACTGGATGACCGTTCAGTACCGGCCCGTTCTTCTTCACCTTGCAGTTCTCCCCATCCTTCTCATCCTCATCCCCTGACTCGTCTGTTTCCTCTCTGTCACTCCTTTCATCCTCCACAATTTCCTGGAAGAGATGAAGGGACCATCAGACCAGAAACTGTATTGGACCTGTTGTGTATGACTGTCCCCTGATGTCTTCAATAACACTTTTCACTGCAACCATGTTACTGAGACGTAAACAAATGATCATCAGAAAAGTAACCATTCCCCTCCCCCACCCCACCCCCCCTTTATGTACTAATTTTGTCAGGTCGTCAAAAACCATGAAAGTAGATAATGTCAGGCTCTTGCTTACGGCTGGCCATCTTACATTGTTGGTGATGAATTTGATGGCCATTCGCACAATGAGGATTGCCCAGAAGATGTGCAGGAACTGTAGTACCAGCAGTAGCCCGTTGAAGAAGTAATATCCGAAGAAAGGGGGATAGAGCGTCACAGGGTACACCCAGGTGCAGTACATGATCCTGCGAGGGAAAACATGGATGTAAGACCAATATTCCCAAACATACATTCCAAGCGAGAGCCAAGACTTAATCAATCAATCAGTCTTTATTTATATAGCACTGTTTTAACTACAGGTTTTATAAAGTACTTTACAGACATTTAATACAAAGGAAATAAAATATGCATACACAGAAAAAAATAATAAAAATAGAATCAATTTTAAAATGTAAATAAATAACAAAATGGCATCAAAATGCTAGATTTTAGCCACCTGTGTTCTCATTAAGGGACTTTGAACCACCCTCTGTAGTCCTAGTACAAGAACACATGAACCACTGCCACAATGGGACCCAAACCAAGTGTTCTCTGGGGGAAGCAAGTCCCAGTCGATGTCGATGAAGAAGGAACCCAAACCCTCCTTCTGCTCATAGTACAACACTCCATATTTCAATACCACTACCACAAGACCACCCTCTCTGGTTTCTGTAGGGGAAGTCATCAGAACTTGAAAAAGAACCAGATGGTGCATTCAAAACTGTCACAGCTACATGTGACCCAAGAGGGGCTATTTCTCACCAGAAGGGGAAGATAACGAGACGGGTCACTATGAAGATGGCAGCAAAGATGATGAAGATGCAGTTGCAGGTGTTCTTCCAGCCGGCATAGTTCAACATCTTCGCTGACTACCGGGGGAAAGAGATTAACCACTGAGGTGACTACCATATGGTGTAGCTGCTCACAGATGAGCGAGATTTGTTTACTACTACTGCTGGGTCTGTGTACATCAACAGACAAAACACAAAACAGACTACAGGAATAGTGGACAGTTGCTCTGAAGCAACAATCTCACACCACACTTCCTAAATGAGATAAAAGACATTACACACCATCTAACGGTGTTACACACCACTGGATAGTAACATTGACTTGTGATTCAGTCTCATCGGCAAGTACCTCCAGCAGGTAGTCCGATGCATCGTGTATCAGCATGATCAAGGTTCCCGCGCGGATGTAGTTGACGCACCAGGAGAAACTAATGAGTGTGATGGTGGCCACGTGGTGAACAATCTGCTCCTTGAAATCCTAGGAGGAAGAGTGTTTACTAGTAACACTGTCGATGGTTAAGGCCGAGGGGTATCTGACTGGCCCCTGAAACCAATCATGATTTATTAAGAACAACCTTAATCGGAAGGTTAAAACAATGTCTGGCTCTGTAAATAAAACACTTAATTGGCAAACATTTCCCAGGTTGAACTGCAAGACTTCAGCATATTATATGGCATGTAAACCTGAAAAATAAAACCAAGTGCAAGGGTTCAGTTAAGTCCCAAATGTATGTTCAGTCATACGAATAGCTGTTCAGGTTCCAGGACCTTGTGAGTCCCTCTACCAGCCAGGTCGCTTAGGAGTCACCAGCAAATTATAAAAATAAAGAAGCTTCCATCTCTGATGAAGAACACCATCATGGGGAACAAAAGTCAGCTGGCAGGGTGCCTCAGTGCATAGCACTGAGCCCTTAAACCTGCAGGGATGGGCTTCGAGCCCTACCCTTGTCTCTGTGTGTGGAGTTTGCATGTTTGTGTGTTAAGCAGGTTTCCTCTGAGTACACTGGCTTCCTCTTTCAGTGTAAAAAGATATCATTAAGATAAATGAGATAAGATATACCAGTGTTTCCCAGTCTGGTCCTCGTGGACCCGCAGACAGTTCACGGTTTTGCTCCCTCCGACTCTCTGGCAGGGTGCAAAAATGTGGACTGACTGTAGGTCCCCGAGGACCGGGTTGGGAAACACTGAGATATATTTTATTGATAACAGGAGGAAATTCTTGATCTGGTGTCTATATTGCTCTCAAAACAGCCAAATAGACTTTTCCCGGTTTTATGCCCCGGGCTTCCTGGGATAGGTCCCAGATCTTCGGCAGCCCTGTACTGAACTGAAAATGGATGGACAAAAGTAGCCAGGACTCACAGGTTCTGGCCTATGTCCCCATGGTCTGCGTGCCCCATGGCTAAGCCAGACTTACAGAGATAAGCACATCAAGTAACCCAGTGTTTACACAGCTGTGCAGTGGGCCATTCTATGAAATGCACAGCTCTAGGTGAAGCATGCTGGGGAGCCAGTAAGAAGAACTGAGGAGCAAATCTCCGACTGCGGTCCGTGCGAGGACAGGCCCAACTGGTCGGGGGCAAGCGGGCGTGTCATCATGCCTCGAGTTTCCCAAAAGGCACGTTTGACACAAGGATGGTGCTGTGTTGCAGAGGATGGTGGTGGGGTTGCACTCACTTTTCGCTTGACGTCCGATGCCACACTAATGAGCAGGGAGGTGTAGAAGGCCAACTCCAGCATGTAGTACCAGTACTGCGATGGAAGCAGTGTCTGCAGAGCGGAGGAGGAGACATTATTTACACACAGAGATGAGCAACGCTGGGTGGCAGACTAGACCAGTGTTACATACAATATACGTTCTGGTAGGGAGCAAAAATGTGGACTGTCTGTAGGTCCCCAAGAACTGGGTTGAGAAAAACTGAGCTAGATGTAACGAAACAGAACAGTGTGTAACCACAGGCTACATACCAGGGTGGGGAATCCCTTCCACATTTCCTTAAAGTCATACAACCATGGTTTCTGAAGAGAGACGCACAAAAAGGCAAAGTTCAACAGTGCATCGGCAACTTACAGACACATTCTCCATTAACAGGAAAGATAATGGCAGGTAGGATAGATATGATTATTCTGATTAAGGCAGGAAGAGAGACATGTTTCAATCTAAAATGGAAAAAGACAAAGGGCACTGAAGAGACTGATGAGGGAACGGTACTCACATCAATGAGTGCAGCCAGGCCAGCAATGAAAGCAACAAGGTAAAAGGTAAATCTCCAACTGCAAGAGAACACACAGACTCAACACCAAAAGGCCACCATGCCTGGGAAACACTGTAGCTCATGAGGGCATTGTGGCCTGGACATACTACATGACACAAGCCATGCTCCAGACTGGGCAGCGGTGAGGACCAGCTCCACATCGTAACGCCACAAGCTGTCAGCTACATTTCTACAATTATAAGGCTACACCTTCTCTCTCAGAGGCAGCAATTCGATAGGAAATGAGTAGAAACAAAGTAGAAGAAAGACAAAAGGAACAATGACAGAACATGAGGAGGAGGAGAAGGAGGAATGGCCATGGACAGAGCTGGAGAGGGAGAGATGTCTGGAACAGGGAGTCCGTTGTTTGCAAAGTAACAATGAGCCGATTCAAGACCTACACGACATGGACGGTCAACGCAGCAAACATTAACGGCGTCCACGGCCGTACACATCCCACAGCCCCTGTAACTGCCAGTGTGGTATTTTTATTCACTCACACCATAAAAAGCATTACAGCACTAACAGGGTAACAGATACACTCACATATCTTTATCTAGGTAAAGCCTATTTCATTTCTTAAGTGATGCTTCTACAATAAATTTAGCTAAGTCTATACGAGGGACATGATCAGAGGCTCTTAGCAGACTTGTTTAGACCTCGGATGGCATTGTTCACAAATTAGCAGCTGCACCTGAGAAATACAGCTGTACGGATAGATTGTGTACAACATAACGTCGTTAAGGCGGTCAGACTGGAGGAGGGCAAATAATCAACTCCACCTTTTTGGCACAATCTCGAAGAGGACAGGTGTTTGGATGGGGCGAGAACAGCTTGTGGCTCCCTTGAAACGTTCTCGTACAGGAAGAGGATCAAGTAACTGAAAGAGACTGCTTTCAGGGCTTAGCTTATTATTGATCCTCTCTGGAACCATCTCAATAATGCCACGAGGTTCTGCCGGAAGGTCACTGATGACTTATGGGCTGTTTGGTAATTAGCGCTGTCCCCATATGGGACCATATTGCACTTTACTGGCTATATAATGATTGCTTTGGTTCAGCGACTGCTGTGCTTGCATTTGTAGTTACGGCACTGTGAGAGGAGTCCTTGCCTGAAGTCACAGATGCTCATGTCCAAGATGGTTACTTCTGTAGCTTCCTAAACATCTAATTAAACCGTAAAATGGAAATGATCATTGCACTGTTACTTCCTAGATTAGCAGCTTAGACATACAGTGCAGGTTATGACTTGGCTTTACGTTTTTTGTTGAGTTTGTTCAGTCGCCTATCTGGCTGGTTAAAATGACTGACTAAACGGTTTTTCTATGCAAAACTTTTTAGGAAGTTCGTATTGCGTATTTGGGCAGTTACGCAATGTTGCCTTTGTTCTGAAAATGTAGACTCTGCGTAATGGACACTTTGCCATCTCACCATCACACGGCCGGGAGTTGGCTGTTCTGGATTTTTGATCAATAAATACCTTGCTTCCCGAAACTTCTTGAGGAGACTGGGTCGGTCCTGATTTCGGCGCCGTCGGAACCATCGTTGGATGTGACGCACCGAGCAACCTGTCACTTTACTCAAATTCTCCACAGAACTCTGAAGGACACGTGAGGAGAAACGAATGGTACATGGACGTGAACTCTTTCAACATGGATGTCTTGGAAGTCATGACAAACAGGCAGAGGTTATATTTCACTGAAAAACAATCATCACAGAGTCATAAATGTGTCTGTGTAATACCGATACATCTTGTAATTTCTTATTCCGGTTATAGTTGCTTGGCGACAGCATTCGACACATGACTGAGGTATGACATAGGATGCCAGTCCATCACCAGGCACATAAATGCCCATTCATACCCAACAGGCAATTTAGAAACCCTGATTAGCCTAACTGCATGTCCTTGGCCTATCGGAAGAAGCTCACACCACACTGGGTTAACACACAAACTCCACACACACACAAAGCAGAAATCCGATTTGAACCTCCAACCCTCTGACAATGCTACCCATTGACCCACCATGTCACCCTCTGGCTAATATACAACATGATCATTAATCAGCCGAAGTAGCCATATTGAAGGCACAACTGCATTCAGTTCTGATACCAAATCATCAGAGAAAACCACTTAAGTTTTAAACCTTACTACAACCTACACCAAAGCCACTCGAGGCTTCCGCTTCATACATAAGTATGTCAACATAACTGCGTCAACATGACGTCTGGCAAAATACCTGTGGAGGACAAAGCCATTCATTGCTATTTCATTATAAGATAAGATAAGATAAGAAGAACTTTATTTATCCCAAGGGAAATTCTTTTGTCATAAACATGCTCAGTGCAACAAGAGGAATAAAGATAAGACAGTAAAGAGCTTAAAAAGAACAGTAGTAATAGTACAGGGTATTATATTATTTCTACCCAAGCTGTTTTAAGCTATATACTGTAATCAAAAAAATTACATATGAAATAAGGTCACCTAAGTGCAGTTATTGTTCACGCAAGATGCTGAACACCAATGTTTGTTTACCTGTGTTGGGTGTATTGTTGTGTTGCAGTAGTAGGTCTCTAGAGTTGGGTTGTGTCCTGCTCTGGGGCGAATTCTGTCCCTCACCCCCAGGAGAGACGCAAGTGGAATGGCCACCGTCCTAGAAAGCAGCAAAGGGAGAATGTAAAGTTGGACATGAGGAAGCTGACGAGAGGGAACAGCAAGAGCAGACGAATGTAAGGAAATGTCTGAAAAATTCTCAGAACATAAAGATGTAATACTCAGAAGGAAGAAAACTGGCAAAATGAAAGCTGTAAAAACCAAGGAGTACTGAGGGGTGCCAACACAGTTGGCAAGTAATACAGTTGGAGTATCATTGTGAGAGGAGAGGGTGAGGCCAAGGAAGGTGGCACTGACCTCTCGAAGATCTGCCGCACTATGAGGAAGCCCAGGGCAAGCGGGATAACAACCCACAGGTCCTCCACCTTGGCATAGACCCGACCATCCCGGTCCTGTAGGTCTTTCCAGCCAAGTCCCTCAGGGAACCACAGCCGCTCCTGCCAGAAGCAGTCACTCAGCCATGCCAACATACTAGAAGAGGAGCAGAGGAATATGATTAAATGGCTTTCTGCATGGAGAAAAGTGTGCTTCCAGTTCATATCCAAACAAAGTATTTTTCCTCAAATTAATTATACTTAGGTTGTACCTGGCTACATCAACCAAAATCGTGTGCCTGCATTGAGAAGCCTAGATCACTTCCTGCTGGATGGTCTGTGTACAGTGCTGATTTAAGACTGCAGAACTTGTTGACGGGGGATTTGTGCACCACATCAACGAAAGGCTCATGCCCATAGGGGGTACGCCGGCCGGCCCACCCCAACCCAACCCAGCCCCAACTTATGATTCTCACCGCTGTGAGTTACAGCCACGGCCCAGGCTTGGCCCAGGTACAAGTATGTGGTGGATTTTTAAAAGATACAAACACGGAGATGGAGGTAAGAATGTAAAAACTGTTGGCTGCTAGACTACAGGGATTACACTTAGGTGGATCAAATGCCTCCCAGAACAGGGGGAGGTCAGCTGTCAAACTAGGATATGAAGGGTAAGACCGTTCAAAGATGGTAACACAACAACACAGGGCATGAACTCAGCCGGGCAGCAAAGCCGTGCTGGATCTGAAGAGAGGACTGCAGTCACATTCACCGGGGACCCCGATTCCATCCTCCCTCGCCTCTGGAACAGGCCAGCCAAGAGCAAAGGACGCCCAGTGCATCTCCTACAATTGGGAGTATTGTTCCATAAAACCACACAACCGTGCTCATTGATCAGCAAACGCCACAAGGACACAAGCTCTCCCTGAATTGGGCGGCACAGGAGATTGGATATGCTTTTCGGAGATGTGCTTCCTGGTCTTATGTACAGGGCGACATACAGGGTAAACCGACTGGGTACATCCCACACGCCAAACACATCTGCTTAGGTTATCTGCTGTCTCTAATTTGCCCATGGTCATGTCTTTCATGTGTGACACTGTGCCCTGCAATGTACTGACATACCACCCAGTGTCCCCTGGAATGTACGTCCTGAGGGAGGCTCGAGGTTCATATGACCATTTACTGGATAATGATTATGGAAAATGGATGGACGTTCACATTTGCTAAAATGGACAATTCAGGTTAGAAAAGAACTGAACAGTAATCATCAGCCAAATCAAGGTCAGGTGTTTAATTGTTAATTATTTAATGAGTCTGTTTGGATAAGATTCTTGTTTAGAGTATTTGGGTGTGTTTAATTAATTTAATCCTCTTTCTGTGTATTTCAAAGATTTATTAGGATTTTGACTAATAAACTCTCCCTTATTTCTCATAAAAAAAAAAAATCTCATGATAATATATGGCAATATGAATCGTGCAGCGACTAACACTTAGAAGCAGTGGTCAGAAACAGTCAGTACACAGCAAGTGCACTTTTCACACCATAAATTGTCTTCATCTCTTGGCAAATAAAAGTGCCAAGATTTATGCCATTGTGGATCTAAACCATTCGGGGTGCCTTCGAACTCCTTCCTGCACAGTTCTGCTTTGGCAGTGTGCAACCACCGGGGTTTTGGTGGCTGAAATGGATCTTTTAACAGGAACTGTAAATGAGCTCATCACAAACAGGCCCCCACTTGTCATCCTGAAATTGATTAGGTATCACATGTACATTTCACTACTCCCAAAACGTTTATTTTCAGCATCTTTCTTACTGTATTATTCTCATGGTGTTTTTTTCTATACTATTTATCCTACACCCCTCACCTGTTTTTAATACAGGAATTACTTTATATTTTGAGATCATATTTTAACCATTAAAACCTGCATCTCACTAATAAGATCTGCCTACTAATTAGGCCGCAATACATTAAATCCATATGGAGATAAGGGAGGATCAGAGTGCATCTCTCATCAATTGGAACTAAGGGCCTAAAAGTGATATGGTTACTCTGCCAGGCATGAGATTTGAACCCATGACATTTCCAAACACAGGGATTTGAACCCATGACCTTCTAACACAGGGATTTGAACCCATGGCCATCCAAACATGGGTACAGACCCGTAACCCTCTGAGCCACACACTTATTAATAAAAGCAATCAACCTTGCTCCACAGTATCTACTTCTCCATATTGATTTGCTGGCTCAGGTGACTGGACTCTGGACTATTCTACTTGTGGGCCCACCAAGAAAAATAGGGACGTAGAGAGATTACTGTTCTGTGTGTCAATATTCACTCAGTTTTAAACCAAATCATTTAATTTATTTATTTTTCTCAGTATGAAGCTGGAGGACCATTTGAAAGTGAGAGTGGACACAAGAGTACACATTTACCATCTTTGAAGGAGCACTGTGTCAAAACTACACCCTGATAAAAGTCATCGTGCGATAACGGTATAATTTATCCTCAAGGGTTTCATCTCCCTTAAAAGGGCTGCTAAGTTTCATCTAGGGAAGATCTTCTTGTGCCAGGCAAGAAGTATGTCCAAAATAACTGAGCAATTTACTAAACTGAGTGACTCACTCAGTCTATGTCAATTTGTTAAGAGTGGGTGCCTGTGAGTCAGAGAATAGCAGAAACTCTCAACAGTGGTTCCTAAAAGTAAATAAACCAAGAATCAATCTGAATGTTCCCCCCGGTAAGTGTCTACTTTCAAAACACGATACTCTATAGAAAATGTGTGTATGCTTTTAACTAGCAAAGAGAATAAACGTAAAAGCAGCTTTGTCAAACAAAAATGAGAATTTATCTAGATGCTGGATATGGATGCTTGCCATCTTAGGACACAAGGATTGTGGCGAGCAATTATTGAAAGGCTGGTGTAAATCCTGGGAAAACGCAAAGAAAGCCAATGCATAACTGTGTATGAGATTTTTAAAAATGCCTCTTCCCTTCCTTACACTCCTTGTACCATAGAAGGCACCCTTCCATCCATCCATCAGTTGCTTATCCAATACAGTATTGTTGGCCATTTAAAATATATTTCACAACAAAAATATAACAATAATTATGAGCAAAGAAGGCACTCCACGTATGGGGGCTCTGTGCACATTTCACCAGGCTGTAATGGCCAGCAGGCTCTTCTACGCTGTGGCTGGCTGAGGAAGAGCCATAAGTGTGGGCGATGCCAACCACCTGAACAAACCCACCAAGGTGGTCAGGTCCATCAGAGGACTGACCATGGACCCACCGGAGGTGGCTGTGGATAAGAGGATGATGGTAAAGTTTATCAATATTATGAACAATCCTGCCAATCTTCTTCAGGGGGCGCTATCCTGGAGCATTTAGCCACTGGCTCATTACACCACGGGTTGCTGAAAAATACTACAGGGGATCCTTTCTGCCTGCTGTCATCAGACATCATAACACCTCTCCACATGCCACTCCCCAGCCCCAGCCAAAACACATCAGGAAGCACCCTGTATTGTTACAGTAAAAGTCTTGTGCTTCCTGTTCTAATTGCATATATGATATCTGATCATTTATTATTCTAGTCTATTATTCTGTCTTCAGGATATTCTATTTGTGTACTATGTACTTTTAAATGTGTTTACACTATGTTAACTTTGTACCATGTCTGTTTGGCACTATATGCATGTTTGTCTGTGTACTATGATCCTACTGCTGTATACATCAGAATTTCCCACTGGCATCAATTAAATGCATCATAATCTTAAATGAGTAAATGCCCACTCTGTGATCCATATTAAGAAATAACATCTCAGGTTTGATGTACAGTCCTCTCAGATTACTGCAGCAGTCCATTTCACACTTGAGCCGTACTCCAAGGCTGTTGTATTATTGTACCTATGAAAAAGAGATGACTTAAGCCAAACTGTGTGTACAGCCACATATACACGTTGCCAAAACAGATACTGTAAACACTGGCAGTGGATAAGGTAAGAAATAACGCTATGGTGATTTTTTTTTATCTAAATAAGGTCGAGAGGTTCTTATGAATTCCAGTCTTACTAGGTTATAAAACAATTGTAATGGGAGTACATTAATGAAAATGGTACTATAAACTACGACTATAGTAATTATGAATACTTCCTGTAGTGAGATATGATTAAAACGTATATTGCATTGCATTCCGCCGGGTTTTACTTAAAGTCTGAACATGTACAGACGTGTAACAATGTTGGCATGTGTATTTAACGATTAATAAAACTAGTAATTAGTTAGGAACTAAACCAATACACAGAAATGACACCGTATAACGTTACCCCCCAAAAACATCATATTTAATTTTGTTCTCTCCTCCCTTCCCGTCTTAAAACGTTTTGGAAAACATTGGTCACAGACAAAGGGGAGCTAACAAAAACGAAATTTGACACATCGTTGCCTGCGCACTGCGTAATATATGGTGGAAAAAAAGGATTTCAGGATCCGTGAGTTTCTCTGCCAACAGGCCTGCAGCTCACACTGGATGGCACTTCCAGTAAATCAGTATGCAGTTACTGACATTAATACAGAAATGTACCGCTTCGGAGGGAGGATGGCTTTTCGTTCTGCGAATCGTTACAGTTTAACAAAGGGCGGTCAGGGTTCATCACTGCACATGTGGCCCGAGGCTCCCGCCGGACTTTGGAGCTTCTCGTACACGCTGGATGTAGCGTCAAGGCGCTCCGTATCGACCCAGTTCACCTCGAACAGGCCTACCGCCGTGAGGGGATCCGTCCGGCAGACGGACAGCGTACACAAAGCTGTATCAGACACGTAATTTATATCAGGAAGGCGCATGACTCAATCGTACCACGCTGGAAATGAAGACGCAGACTCTCAGCGCGCATTCACTCTCTCCCCTCCTATGTTTTCATCGATAGGCCTAGCAGATCCCGTCATGTTTAATCTACCAGTGCTCCACGAACTGCAAAAACGTCTTCATATTTTGAAATTAAGGATAAATTACGTCGCTTCTGCAAACCGCACTAGCCCTCTCAGTCTTTACACGATCGACGAGTTTAACGGGCGTCTTATAGTAAAGGCGTTATTTACTGTATTACTCTGGGTTTATACAAACAAATGAAATAATGAGTCCTTGTTTACGGGCATTTTTTAATCATCGTTGCCCGCAGCGCCATTTTTTTTTAACTGCTGGGGGTATTCAGTCAGGCGTCCACGACCCCCCTTGGGTCCCACAGAGAAGATGTGGCAGTCCTAACCACCCCAGGGGTTTCAAGATTATTCAAGCGGACCGCCACTCAGGTCCCTAGTTACTTATGTGATCACGCTTCAGTGGGGTGGAGGATCCTCTGCTCGTCTTTCAGTTGGGATTCCCTGCTTTAGCAAAGGTTGTCATCTCCTGCTTTAATGAAATCGACTGCTGCTCAGCCCCCGACGATGTAGTTAAACGATTGACAAGGATCTACAATAACTTGGTGAATCATCAATGCCAAGTGTTAAAAATACCAAATACACAGCTGCCTTTCCGGACAGAGAACTCGAATCTAAACAGGAGCAACACAACTGGTACTTTGTCAAATAAAGAATGGGCACCGAAACTTTGAAATTACCCTGTTACATAATGTCATGATCTCTTTGTTTTAAAACTGCGTTTAATAGTCATCTAGGCTGATAGATTCACTTTAGCAAAAACACGGATATTTTGCCATTAGCTGATCCTGATCCTGTTTATATATAATTACCTCAGTAGGCTATGCAAGTGCTTCTTCCTGATCGTTGGAAATACCAAGGAATAGTGCTTTATGTTGATGCAAATTCCAGCAACTCTGATGAATGAAATAGGGTGATTCTTCTCCATGGACTAAGTCGCGTTAAGTATGACGACTGTTTTTTGTTTTTGTTTTTTTACTTCTGCACGATGGCCAAACACATGATGACATATAGCGGACCGATCCATGGCTGGGCGATTCTGTTCACTACACAGACCTTTCGCTTGCGAAAAGTGGAAATATCTCACATTTAGACAGATAACGGTACTTACTTCAGTCCCGAGTTGCACGCAGGTCGGAGGCGAATGAGGCTGGATGTCGGCGATATGTTATCGAAATACACAAAGAACAGCACTTAAACAGTAATACGTCATACAGTCCGTCCTAATTTTGGAAGGAGTCGCGATTTAGAGGGGCTGGCCAGCCGCTTTGCTCATACGTTTCACCGTTTCCGTGTTTTAGTGAATTAATCGTCCGCCCTCCGTTTCTCCGCTTACCCACATCTTCCTCTCCCAAAAACTATCTTCACGGGGGGGGGGGAATAGGAAAAAGAATACAACGGGGTCAAAACGAGGTAAATGATACTGTGTATACCTTTCCTTCGTATTTCGAATTGTCTTCTTTAGTTTCAATCCGACTTAGGTGTATACTTCCAGTTTAGCAGCCTCAAAAGTACTCCGAGATGTGGAATGCAGCGCTTGTCCGCCGAGTAAAGGCGTCGGTCAGCCCGACTGCTACATCTACGGTGTAGGAGGGGGGGGAGCCAGGGCAGACGGAGCGAAGAGGAGGAGGAGGAGGGAAGGCCCAGGCCCAGGCCCAGGCCCAACAATGACGATCACCGCATTACGAGAGCAAGCAGCTTGATGAAAAAGGAGACTGCGCTGTTGCTTTTTTCCGGAGTGTTGTAACAGCAATCCGCCTCCCTCGGCTGATTGCTAACACGCAGGTTTTGAAACCCCAGCGTTCATTACACGGTTTTCAGTAGTGCCGCTCCCCCGTTTGGTGCGCCGTGTTTGCCCCCGATATTTGGGGCTTTCTTCCTGGACTCTTTTCTGCATTTCAAATATTGATGATTTGTGTTATCTCATTTCGCTTGAATGCTTAACGTAGCTGCTCGAGTTTTTAAATAGAAGTTTTTATATGCAGAAGGGAGGAGCGGGGGGAGAAAGCGGTCGCTGATTGGGCAGTGTAGTCTAAGAACTGTGTATGTTGGGTACAAAGGACGAGGACGGTGGGATCCACAGAAATCTATTACTTCGATTATTTTTTGAGTTTTGGGTTCAAATACAAGCACAATAGTGTAAATTTTAAAAAATTAGTTGATAAGTAATATAATTTAATTACAGTTTTAAAAAAAAACTTACAGTGAGTGTGTTTTGTTAAGAAATATACAGAATAAAGGGGATGAAAAGTTTTTTTGAACTGAACATATACGATCAGTTGTACTTTTATCCCATGCGGTCAATGTATAAAAATGTAACCATCTACTCTACGAATTATGTTCTACTATGGATTTTTTCCCATTAGTTTTAACCTTACATATTCCATTCAAATTGATGTCACTGTCACTGAAGAATATGGAAGAGCTGTATCCTCTTGCTTTAGAACACCGCTGTCCGTGAGGGGTCCGTGGTTAAATTCCCCGCTTTACTGAATTTGCTCCCTCTTCAGGGTATTTAGAGGAATCCAACATAGAAACCGGATATACACACACACACACACGCATTTTCCCGACATCTACAGCTAACATTCACTCATCACCATATCCATATCACAAAAAGGGCAAAATTCAAGTTTTGTCATGTTTTTTTTATTTTAACTTAAAAAGAGAGATCAAAATCAGAATCAATAAATAAGAAATAAATTATCATTGTGATTATTAATTCATAATTACAATTATGCAATCACAAAGTCTGACATACAGACCCACAAAAAATCATTTCTCTAAAAAATCCTAAAATTAAAAAGTCCTCCAATTCCTTTTATTTAGCATTCCTCCTATCATCAAAAAGGAATTAACAGATTGATTAATAAATAAAAAATACTTAAAATATTAAAACTTACCCCCTAATTTCCAGCCCTCCCACCCATATATCAACAAAAACTAAATCGAGATTTTAAATCTTTTCAGTTTTCAATCCTTTCTCATTTGTAAATGCAATAATAATAATAATAATAATCTGATTTTTTTGTAATTATTTTTATGTATTTTTTTCACTTTTTATGGGTTTTTAAACTTTAATCTCCTTAAACTAAATTATTTACAAGTATAAGGTTTTTTTCCCTTAGTCACACTAACCTACACTTTTTGTGTAAATTATTTTTCCAGTTGCCTTTTTAAGAAACAGGAGCTATCACTTAACAACATAAGGTAGACTAAAAGAAGTGATATATTCAGTCGTTCCACTTTCCATCCGTACTCATCACCATCGTCTGTTTTTTCCCTGCCTCCCCTCTTTCACAAGCTGTACACCATTGTCAAATGCTCCTTATCAAACTGGGTTCGTCGGTACGGCCAAGATGATCGACGTGTGTTCCTGGTGAGTGTGCGTGTACATGTGCGTGTGTGCATGGCTGCATATGCACCGGGTCTTCGGTCCATACACACGAGTAAATATGTTTGTACTGAGTCGTCGGCTATTTTCACATAGCTGTGTAGTCGGGTTGCCTGGCTGTCTAACGGACGGAGACGCAGAGGAGGCGCTGAGAGTGCATTCCGCTTGGATTTCTGTTACAGGAGTCTACGGAAACGTTACCTGAAGGAGAGAAAGAGAGGATCTCTTTACACATTGACCGTGACCATCGCAGCTGGCCACCCAGTGTCTTCTGCCCTTCACCCACTAAAAGCCCCCAAGAGATTCAAACTGGCAGCAGATCACAGAGGCCGGGCCTTTCGGCTAGATTTTGGAGTTGCAGCAGTTCGACACCCTTCCGGTGCTACTTTTACTGAGTTGTACGGCAACCGTTTCTCATTGGATAAATTTTGTGCATTGAAGCGAAATGTGTTTGATCATTTTTTTCTGGTCTCTGTGCACATCTTGGGACAGCAGGGTCTGAACAGGAGAAGTCACTAAGTGGAGATAAATCACGGCTTTGAGCCAGCAGGAGGTCATTTGGACACCAAAGGTTTTATCCTGAAATTAGAACCATAATTTTTAAGAGAATGGCTTAGCTTCATAATATCCCACACCCGAGAGAGAAAGCATTCACATTTGTCAAACTATCTCAAAGGTAGCAGATTTTTAACTAAAGTCAATGCACAAAAAAATTCAAATGAAGGGTGCGTTTTATTGAGAGTATTAAGTACGGTTGACGTGTATATCTAATATGTTAAACATATTCAGCTGGGCAGACCTTTTTGGTTTCCCCAAATAACCCAATAGGCTAATTGAGAAGAAGTGTGTCTCTCAAATATAGCCAGTTTATTGTAACACATTGTAATACATAAATATTACACCCTTCACTTGAAACAGGTCTGAGGATTTGATTAAAAAATGCTTTTCATAATATATCACTATTTAGATATTTACCACAATTTGTAGCCCTTGAGGACAAGTTAATGATTTGAACCAATAAAGAAATGGGTTGAATTGAACTAAAACCCAGAGTGTTAATGTTACATCACTTTAGAGTACACAAAGGCACTGTGTGATATTGTCTAGGAAGCCTCTAGTTTGAACTTAAACAATCACTGTCAATTGAAGATATTTTCATGTGCACATACAGTGTCCATGCAGGTCTCACTGAAAATGTTCAGCGTGTGTGGATGCGACCACAGATGTGTCTGTGAGTGTATGAGTAAGTGTTGTATCATTAGTGACAGTATAGTCTGGATTGTAATTGTAGCGTTATACTTGGCAGGCAAACAATTCCCAACATGCACCACTTTCTAGCGGTAACTGCGATATAAGAATTCTGGGTAACATTTTGGCTAATAGTCATATTTATTCATATATGATTGTAAAATATTTATTAAAATATTCTTGTATTCATTTTTCTGTATTTCTCATTCTCATATTAGGACAGATTCTTTATCATACAGAAAAATGAAATTGTATTCCGAAATAATAACTATCTTTAACATCGAAACTTAAACCGCTATTGCAACTGTACAGTCAAACATTTTAAAAATGCGTAATCTGACCAACAGCTCTCAGGAATTTTAAATGTCTTTAGCTACCCAGAATCCCTAATGAGGAAGATTTTCTCCAATCGGCACAAGGCATTTGTGTTTCACCATGACAACCACAAACCATTACCTCAAAACACAGGCCAGGGAGAGTGGAGGTAAAATTTTGGAAGAAATAGAAGGATAAAGGAGAATGAAACAGAATGGGGGAAACTAAAGAAAAAAATGGCAGGGAAATAAAGTCGTGTGACCTTCAACCCAATCCACACTTACCCAGCCAATCAGCAGTCCAGCACAGCGGAACATCATTTCAAATAATCAGGAAAATAAATGCATTTCTGCCTGTACAACACAGTACAGAGAATATTGACAAAGTTTAACATATTTCAGTTGTAGTCTAATGTACAGTTAGCTTCCTGATTATTTCAATGAGATTATTTTGAAAATATTTCCTTGCCTTGTAAAAATGTTCTTCATAATTTTACTTCACTTTTCCTTAGTGATCCAGTGTAGTACATTTTAAGGAAAATAATGATCTGTTAAACTGGATTGGACTGGATTTGGCGGGTTCCCTGGGGGAGAGATCAGGTTGGAGCTCTAATTTACAGAGGGCTTAAGCCACACAGAACCGCAGGTCACAACCACAGAACTGTGCTCCAACTTGTCTGAGTTTGTCAGGAACAAACGGCGCTGTAGTATGAGGGCTCCGCCAAAAACACCCAGATATGCAGAGTGACACACTGGGAAAGGGCTGTGTACGCACTCTCAGCCTTTCACACTGGGTGTGCCTGTTTGTACTCCCAGACACACAAATACACTCATACACAGAGCACCCACAAAATATCTAGTTTAGTAATGATAACATTATAACATGATCATGTTAATATGATAATGTTATTATGGCAATAGTAATAATAACATTAAGAACAGGAAAAAAGTGAACCACAGTCACCACAACAGTAAATATGTAAAGTCATGATAATAATGGACATAAATCAGCAAAAAACCGACTGGAGAATTACTATTTTTATCATGTATAAAATTGTAGCGATAAGTCACTATAAAAATGCCCGAGTCACAGTTATTGATCAATGTGAGCAGGGATACAAGTCAAATAAACTCACAGTGCACCAAACACAGTCCGTGGTCGCCACGGCAACACGGCATGCAGTTCAGCGCATGGCCGGTCGCTTGGGGCAGTTGGCAAAAGAAATAAAATTTCCAACAGCAACCCAAACACAGGCAATCGCCACGGCAACCCAAACACAGGCAATCGCCAACGGCAACCCAAACACAGGCAAATCGCCAACGGCAACCAACACAGGCCAATCAACTTACAACCACCTGAGAGGAAGGGGGACGGGGCTTTATCGGTTGCTAGGTAACCATAGCCATAGCGACGTGGTCTTCACGATTTATGATTGGACAGGAGGATCTTGAATGTGGTGTGTTGTTTTCAGGAAAAAATTAAAACAGCACAAAAAATAAATAAAAGCAAAGAAAATTTAAGTAGGAGAACAACATCTTTAACGTTTTTAAGGTCTAGTTGTCTAGATAAATCTAGCTAAAATCACAGCATTAAAAATCAATGAACATTCAACGTTTGAATCCTTTGGAGTGCTGCTGTAAAAGCTGTAAGGCGGCTTCCTGAGTGTTATCTTTGGCAGAAAACATGAGCTGACAGTACCCTGCGCTTCAGCTAATTTGAAAGACTGTCACTCATCTTCCTCTCTCCTGTTCATCTTCCCTTGCTTGCCATCTTCCTCTCTCCTGCTCATGTTCCCTTGCCTGCCATCTTCCCTCGCCTGCCGTCTTCCCTCGCCTGCCATCTTCCCTCATCTGCAGTCTTCCTCCCACCTGCCATCTTCCCTTGCCTGCCATCTTCCCTTGCCTGCCATCTTCCTTTCTCCTACCATCTTCCCTTGCCTGCCATCTTCCCTCACCTGCTGTGTTCCTCTCTCTTGCCATCTTCCCTTGCCTACCATCTTTTCTCGCCTGCTGTCTTCCTCTCTCCTTCCCTCTTCCCTCGCCTGCAGTCTTCCTCTCTCTTGACATCTTCCCCTGCCTGCCTTCTTCCCTCACCTGCCGTCTTCCTCTCTCCTGCCGTCCTCCCTTGCCTGCCATCTTCCCTTGCCTGCAGTCTTCTTCTCTCCTGTCGTCTATCCTTTGCCTATCATCTTTCCTCGCCTGCTGTCTTCCTCTCTTCCTGCTATCTTTCCTCTCCTGTTCATCTTCCCTCACCCGCCCAGGCCGTCCTCACCTCTCCCCTTCTACTGGCATCTCAGTATGGCCGGTTGGCGTCCTTGGGCCTCTTCAGCTGGACCTTCAGCCGCTTCATGCCAATCTGGAAGCCGTTCATGGCCTGGATGGCTGTCTGGGCACTGGCCGGGTTGTCAAAGCTCACGAAGCCTGGGTGGGCACACATGGAGGACCAGTGCTCAGTTCTGTCTCAATGGGTCGGAGATGCAACCAAAAGGCAGGGCTAGGGCCACTTTAAAGGATTGTACACTGGCCAATGGGAGGCTAGGGTTCTATTTGACCTGCTCTAGGACATAGACAGCTTTAAGTTTGATTTATGAGTATAAAATATAATTTGTACCTCCTGGCATATAAGCGTGACTCAGCAGAGCGGCTCTGCCTGTCGCCTCCCTGCCTTCAGCCACCCTCCCTGCCCCCGGCCCCCCATCTCCTCCACCCCATCCACACCTCCCTGTTCCTTCCATCCTCACCGAAGCACTTGCTCTGGTTGGTGGCACGGTCAACGAAGACCTTGGCAGAGATGACGTTGCCGAAGGGCAGAAACATCTGCAGCATCTCCGAGTCAGTGAACTCTTGGGGCAGATGGTAGATGAAGATGTTACATCCCTCTGGGCCTGCAGGACATGTGTGTGAGAAGGGGCAGAATAGTCAGAGAGGGGTTAGGGGTGAAGAGGTGTATAAGACAGCCAGGCCTCACACGCAGAGTGTGTAACAATGGTAATGACCATTGTTAGCAATCACTGCACCAAGAGGATGAGCAAAAGAACTGAATGGGTAGGAACTGATGGAGTGTAACACCGGTGCTCACACTACAGATGCAAGCATGACAACAAGGTTCATAGCCTGGCAGGAAATTACATCACCTTCTCTCTGCTGCTGTTGCTGGGGTTGTTGATGTTGCTGGGCAACCAGGGCAGGTTGCTGTGGGAACGGCTGGCCAACCAATCCATAGGCAGCAGGGTAGGCTGCTGTAAGGTGGGGACAGACTGGTGATAAGTTAGGCATTGAAGCCACAGGTTTTGGAAGCACACAAGCACATGCTTCAGTGTGCTGATTCACAATGTAACTGCACCCACAGAAACACAAACACACCTGTGTAGTGTTGCATTCCTGCATAAGCTTGCTGCAGTGGATCCAAAGCTGCAGCTGGACTCTGAGCTGGGGAGAGAACAGGCCATCAAGAAATATTAGAACATGATGGAAGCACAGGGACAGTTTCAGCTCCTGTGCTCCTGACACAGAGAAGGCAGGCATGCCCAGATTTACATATGTATACACAAGGGGAAAGATTAAATATTTAAAAGTGGGACATTGAGTTTCAGTTTTGCACGACTGGATCATAACCTTGGTAAGGATGGACACCATTGGTGTACAGAGTTTCAGATGCCGGCTGCCCATTGGCTTGAGCAGGTACCGGGCTATAGCCGTTGACTCCAATTGGTGGAGGTAAGGCTGGCACTGGTGTGGCTGCGATGGTAGGGGGGGTATTTGTACCTGCAGACCAGGAGGACCAATCACAGCACAGGATGTATTGTGAGCGATGATTAACAGAGACTGAGAAAAAATAAGGTGGGAGGGGAAAAGACTAACAGCTCGGTGGGGCAGAGGGGGTACAGAGGGGGTGGCACTGACAGATACAGCAGCATTACCTGAAGAGGGCGTGATAGGTGTTATGGGCGTGATGGGCGTGGCAATGATGCCATTGGCATTGAGGGCGGCCATCTGCTGCATCTGCACCGCGGCAACTGTTGCCACGGGCGACAAATATGCCGACTGCGCAACCAGGGCCTGTTGCTGGACCAGCTGAGGAGACAGAGAGTGAGGGGCAGGGGGAGGGGTGAGTAGAGAGCGCAAGTTGCCTTGCATATTGAATTACATCCCATAATTGGTTGGAGGCAGAAGAGCAGCGATTTTATGACCGTAAGATGCACGACCCTTCCTGCAGGGACAGTACATAACCAGGATTCCACTGTCAGGGGTGTCATCGCTACAGTGCCATCTTCATTTGCCCCCCGCACTCACTGCCTGCGTGTAGGCGTTGTAGGCCCCGAAGTTCAGCGTCATGGGACTGAAGATGCCCAGCTGGGAGGCCACCTGCTGCATTCGGCGCAGGCCCCGCTCCTTCTCTGTGTCAGCAAACTTCACCACCAGGCTGGAGGAGGCACCCTGCCGAGGGACGGGCCGCCAGCTCAGGGCAAACAGGCCATCGGGGCAAATGGGGTGGGGGGGCACGGGATGCAGAGGCGGCCAAACTCACCGGTAATGTGCGACTGCCGTGCAGGGTGTTGATGGCAGCCTGGGCTTCCGCATGGCCCTGGAACTTGACAAAGGCGCACCCTGCAGGACACCACAGATTGAGCACCTAACCCACATCCCAAACCCCTCTGAACATCATACACATAGTTCAAGTGGGAGAAGGTTTTAGGTCATGATCCCAGCAGAGACACTTCAATACCCTGCAGCACTGAAACACTCTAATGCTGTAAGATTGTAATAGTGTAACACTGTCAGTCTCTGTAATGCTGTAAGATTGTAATAGTGTAACACTGTCAGTCTCTGTAATGCTGTAAGATTGTAATAGTGTAACACTGTCAGTCTCTGTAATGCTGTAAGATTGTATCGTTGCAACACTGTCAGTCTCTGTAAAATTGTAATGCTGTAATGTTGTAATAGTGTGACACTATAAATCTCCATAATGCTGTTACATTGTTAGAGTGTAACACTATAAATCCCTGTGATGCTAAAACTCTTTAGCCGCATGACATGCTAACGTTGTGCCACCATTACGCTGTAATGCTGTAACAGTGTCTTCCTAGGCCAGACCCCATTACCCTTGCTGGTGCCATCAGGTCCCCTGAGCACTGTACACTCCTCGATGCTCCCGAATGGCTCAAACATCTTCCTTACATCCTCGTCCGACTGCTGCTTCCCCAACATGCCCACAAAGAGCTTCCTGTCTTCTGGCGGAGACGTGGCAAGGCAGAGGGGGGACAGACAGGGGACACGGGGAGACACAGGATGGCGTGTCAGGAAGCAGGAGGTGGGGGAAAGAGTAATCGAAACGAAGAGGAGAGGAGAGGAGAAGAGGGGAAGGACAGAGGAGGAGGTGGGGGTCACAAACAAGATTAAAGCACTAGAAATAACCCAGGGAGAGGAAAGCGCACACACACATACACACACATACACACACACACACACACACACACACACACACACACGCTCACACGTACTCATTCTTGATGATAAGGGCGCATATTGCGTTACAAGCACTAAAACAACTGCATTATAAAGACAGAGACTATCATATCTACTATCAATTTTGAAAATAGAGTGCAGTAAATTACAATCATGACATGATATAAGTACTGGAAACTAAGATGTTAGATGTTATATGCAAGGTCATGCTGTATAAGGTGCCCACCCAAAAAAAAAAAAAAAAAAAAAAATACCTAAAGAACTGCATCTGGACACCAGAGGGCAGTGGTGGCTGTACAGTT